AGAAACTTCGAGGCTAATTACTTTCAAGCTATCTTAACTATTCCCAGATGCATTTTATGCAAGTAGTCTCGACGTATCAGGAGATATGATTAAGAACTGTCTTTAAGAAATTATTTACGTAAGCCCATATTAGATTAGTACTTAATGATGCAACGTTATTTTAGTACTATTTACGTGAAAATTATCGGAATCGGTTCACAGAAGCATTTAATAGGCGAGACCCATTACGTAAACTTGAAGTTGAACCAATTAATTTGTACACACACAGTTTTATAATTTTTATGCTTATATAAAAAACTTCACATTTGTCTTGCCTTTTCCTTCTTTCATCTCAACTAAATTGTATATTTAGAAGCGAGTTTAAATCTTGGAATATAAAATGCTTTAGTTTTTCATGATTTGGCGATCTACTGGCTGCTCGTCATTCGGTATTGGAGATTTGCATACAATAGTAAATATAAATAATACATTATTGATTTAACCAAATTTTCCATAATACAACAGGCAGCCTTGGTTACTAGCTGCTTTCTTCAATTACGTTTATTACCTCTTTCCCATACAAAGTTTCGTCCCATTTTACACAAAAGCGTAAAATGTCCAGAACTTTTTTAAATCCAACACGTTTCGGTGGGTGTTTAATATATTATTTTAAAATCTACTAAATGAACATAGTACTGTACATTATACATTAAAAATATAGCTCCTATGTTATTGTTGCACAACCGAACAAGTGTCCACTTATGTCACCAATTTCCCATAATTTGTGTGTTCAACAAACAAAACACCCATGACATCTGCTGGTTTCGCAACAATTTGCCCAACCTCCGGTTTGAAACCTAAAAGACGAGACACGATGTCTCAGCTAGGCCAGCCGTGAGAACACCGAGCTCTGACGCAAGGAGACGTGAGTGCAAAAGATGTGACAACAGAACAAGCTAAAATTCATCTTGTTCCAAAGCTTTTGCAACGAGATTGGCATGAAAACGAGGATGATACAGTAGAGTTGGTTAATTCGATGATCAATTTTGATATGCACCGATTTCAATCTGTGACCATCCCGCTTAGCTTACCTACATTTAAAGATGAGTTTGATGTAACTGCTTAGTTTTTACCAGTTCAATTGTTTTCTTATTATTTAATAAACTTTGCATTAATTTTGCAGCAAACTTCTTCTTTGCACTGTGGAAAGGCGTCTTTGGCGCTCAATAAAACAATCACAAATTAACTAAGTAAATATGTATAGCTTCTTTAAATTATATATAACTAGCGGCCCGCCCTCGCTTCGCTTCGGTGTAGAGCTGAAGTGTAGACTACAGTTTTTGTTCTCAGGCTTGTATTATACACAATGACATTCATCTATGATTCTTCTTATACCTGCATGCAAAGTCTCAGCCCGATCGGTTTAAAATTGACATAGTTACAAATTTCAGCCCGATCCGTCCAGAAGTTTGGTCTGTGCGTTAATAGACTACTACACTATGTCAGTCAGTCACCTTTGAGTTTTATATATATAAATAACAGTGCGATGCGGCTGAAAAGTAAGTTTTAATATAATAACAAACATGTTTTTCTTTTTAAACTTCCTTTAAACTGAAGTACCTATTTAAGGAGAACTTACAAGTTTTTATTTCGATCATTATTTAAATATGAACCGAAGAACTCTCATAACCCGCATGAGTGTCCCTGTCCAAACTACTGAGCTACTTGGTATTTCTCTTGAATTTCGAAGGCTTATTTGAAGCATCGTATAAAGCGGCTAAAGGATTGTTTTTCATTGTTATTGTAGGATAAGTTTAGTACGTTTTTAAATTGAAATGCATAAAACTGTATGATTGGAATCAAAGAAAAAATACTGACAAATGTTTTATATTTTAATAGACTAAATGCGAATTTAGTTGTTTGTACACCCAAGTTCCACCTTTTAACTGAAATACTTAATTTGTTGGGCGGCTGAATTCAGCCGCCACATCATACTAGTATATTGGTTCACGTGAAATGCCGTACAGACGAAAGACATTTGAATAACTCAAATGCCATCATTTGAGTATATAATTGTGGGGTTCTGGATCTCATTTGATCCAGAAACCCCAATTATCTACTACTTACAACCATGAAAGTTTAAAACAATATTTAGTTAAATTCACAAGCAAAATCAAACACATGCTTTGCTTTGCTCGTCTATATTTAATTTATGTTAATAATACAAACTCGGATCCATTACACCTTATATACCCCACGTCTCAACTAAGAACAAAGACATTTTGATTTCATTATGAGATTTATCTTATAGGATACTCAACTTATGATACCCGTAGTAAAAACTTAAAATTTCAGCATTTATGTGTGACTGCCCGGAGCCCGGGACTTCGTCTGCGTGGAAAAATTGGTTTTCCATACAAACTTCTACCCCGGTTTTCACTCACTTAAACGATGATTTCTGGAATAAGAACTATGACATTTCTCTGGACTCCAACCAGTATCAAATTTTAACATCTGTATCAAATTTAATCTAAATCTTGAAGAGTTTAAGCGGGAATAGGTAACAAACAGACAGACACAGTTTCGCATTTACAATATTATTATGGATAACTGATACTGTTATTAAAACCTAATGAGAGTGCGAGTGCCATGTAGTTAACCGAGGGTCAAATAATAAATTGGAATATTTTGCGAGTCAAGGTCTGTAGGCTATCGTGATATTAATGATAACAGTTTTTTCCATTGTAGTAATCTTTAATGTCAAGGTGAAGAGCAAAGAATAGGAAAAATCATATTTTAAAGTTCAAAGTTTAAATCAGTATCAAAGTTAAACTATGAAAATTATATAAAAGGAAATATTTATATTTCATACTAAACCACAAGAGAGGCATAAATGAATGAAATTCACAATAGTTGCAATTGAGAAAGATCCCAATACTGCCAGAACATACAACATACGTTTGAATCAGTCCCTAGACTGTAATTAAAGTAAGTAAAATTTTTATGTGTCTGTGCCACCTTATACAAAAAATTGGCCCCACAGCACAAGTTAGCGAGTATGTTTACATGGTACACACTAATACTACTCGATTGCCCATATTTTGTCCATAAGAAAATAAATAAAGTCTGGCAGTCTTGGAATCTAGTATATGAGAAAATTTCTTCTTCTCCGTCACTTAACATGAGGTGGGGCCGAGTCATTTGTCGGACCTATCTTTAAAAAAATAACAACAGTAAAAGCATTATGACTGATACAATGCCAGGCATTGGTAATGTAGTGAAATCGTGAAAAAAATCCTGACAAAAAAAAAATAGAATTGTCATCAGATGCAAATATTGCTCTGATACGGATAATTAGATTTTAACGGAAACAAAGGACATTGATCAAAAATGTATGGACGCTGCACCCACGTCCGCCACGGCTTAAACTACATTTGTTTGAAAGGCATTAATAGTCAAGATCATCTGTGCCAAAGCGCATCATATTCCATCCCGGGGGTCTTTAGATATTTTAAGTTAAATATGTACAAGTACTATAACGAACGAACATTAATGAAACAAGGGAATTAATTTAGTTAGTTAGTTCGACCCTACATAGGGTGCTCAGGAATTATGGGAGTTCTTCACAAGGTGCAAGGGTGCTCCCTTATGTTATAAGTCCAAAAATCCCCGCATGGGTTGGGGTTTTTTTTAAACATTCTGTTCGTTATAGTAAATTGTCGTCTATATAAAACGGAGCGACCACGGATTACACAAACTTGTCCACGCTTCGGAGAACACATGATTCCAGTTCATCCATATTAATTGACAAAACCGATGATCGTGTTCCAATATCCAAAGTGTGTTAGATAAAAATCAATCAAGTAGCATGGAGCGCACAATCACTACGAAGTAAGACGAGTCGACTATTTGCAACTGCAAGTCCTTCAGCATCCGTAAACCGTTTTGAAATGTCTCAGTAAGATAAGATAAGCGCAGGATGGTCGGCTGGCTTTGTCGTATATCTGGTTGTATAGTACAATATGGCATATTATTATGATTACTAATAATATAAAGTAAAGGTACTATAAAATGAATTTATACAGCTACTTAAATATGCCCATGTGTCATATCTATTGACTACCAGGATATTTTTTACGGTGTCATATCTTTTGACTCCCAGGATATTTATTTTCGGTGTCATAATAAAAAAGGTAGTTTTTCATAGATCTATCGATTCATACTAATTACATTGTTGGCGGAGCTGGATGTGTTTTGACCATTGTCCTTTCAGTATAACATACAATCAGCCTTCCAGGGATGTTGTAAAGCGGAACTGATGATAACCGCTCAATGTGATAATACCACAAATAAACAGAGCACGCCACAACTGCGCGACCTCGCGTGAAAAACGTAATCCCGGATTGTACTGTAATAGACTATTTTGCGTTCTTGGCAGACCCCTTTTACCATGTGATGACACGTCAAATCGAAAGTAAACACAGAAGTGTTTGCGACGGACGCGGCTAAAGACAAACCAGGGACCGTTTTGAGTGTTTGGTATGCCCTCTTTGAAGTTGATGGTATACTTTCATAAAACAAAGCGGCAGAAAGGCGTCTAGAATCAACAGGAAAGAAAGACTATTCAACTCTATCATATTAATACTTTTATAGAGTATAATATCAGCAGATATCCTTCAATTCTATTCAGCGCCAGCGACTGAAAGAATCTTGTCAATTTAAGTATGTTTCATTTATTTACTCTTCATTGTCATTCAACAAATGGCGGACTTAATGCCATAAGGCATTCTGTACCAGTCAACCTTCGGGCTAAACGGGACGGAGCGGAGCGGAGCTTTTACTTTTAGAAGTAGCAATCATTTGGCTACTTTCAAAATTCATAATGTTTAGGAACTAGAACTGGGATTCTCATTGTTTTCACCACTGCTTTACATGAAAACCGGGGGTTATGGCTAAATCTACTTACCTTGAATTCTAAAAGCAATCCCTTACGTCAAACGTTAATTCCATTCAACACTTACATTGTATTTGAACACATGCTATCTACGTTCCAACACTTCCAACACTTGTTCGCGACGTGCTAAATGATTAACAAAATATTAAATTATTACAGCAACGATAGCAGACAACTCGACTACAAAAACATACACTTTTATATAGCTCCACATTGATACTGAGAAACACATGGCACAACATCAGTATTAAAACTCTTAAACAGAAGAGACATTTTTAGATACATATCGTATCGCATAATTAAACATGAATTGTTGAAACTACTAATAACTGAATCTGAAAACCCATTAATTTATTGACTTCTCTTTAATATAGTTAAACATAAAATATTTAATATTTTTAATTCTTTAATTATATATGCAAATATGTTTTGCTGTTACGATAAGTATACATATAAACGAAACAAAAGCGACTTAAACATTACATACAGTACGCGTTTTTGACAATTTTATTGGTACGCTATACTACATGGTCCAAACTATCCAGCGACATGCGAAAGTTGAAGGACTTGATTGTTAAAATTTTCGTTATGTCGCTGTGGCATGCACAATGGCTCATGCGGATGCCGTAATCAAGAAAGTGTAGAAGGAATGTACAATGATTAAGTAACGTGTTTCGGCCGCACAAATCATAATATGGTATGTGAACAGCAAAGTGTATACTTGGAAATGATGAAATCGCGTACAATTTCGGACAGTTGGAAACAACAAAGAAACTTCTGGAATAAGCTACCAGGTTGCTATAAGTAATCTCCATAAGTAAAAAACCAGCTTTGATCGACTTCTTCGAACATGCCAGCTCCATCTTATCCAAAACTTATTTATTTATTTATTTAATCAACTCAATAACATAAATTTCTAAATTATTATTAACTATGATAAGAAAACTTTAGCGGCCTATTAAGATGTCTAATAAATTAGTCATAATATTAACATCTGTAATTAGTAAAATTAACAATTTAAAAATCCCACACAATTATCGCCTAACGAGCAGTTCCAATAATCAACCTCCAGGACCTAAGGAATATCTAGTTCCGTTTCTAGTCTACCTACCTTTTAATGAAGTTTAATTATTGAAACTTACCGTAAAAGAAATAGATCAAGAATCTCTACTATTTTACGCCAGTAAAAACAAAGCTATGAGTGAATTGTGTTCTAAGGTTAACCGTAGAGACAAATAATTTCAACAAACAATATGGTAAAACTGATTCTCAGCCGAGGCCAATCACTAACCGATTGTAGATTCTTGTAGATAATCCGAACGAATTGCAATCATTTACAATCATAAGTATTATAGGCCATTCGATACTTGATCGTGATCAACGCATTTCTATAAATTCAAGGTTCGAAGATTTCCCAAAAGTACTATGCATAACAGACTATGCATCGATTTATCAACACAGACAGTTTAAGTTATTTCGAGACATTCTCGACTCGTCCACTCTAAACTGCTGTACACAACAGAGCTAAAGTGGTGACGTTTGAAATTTATGAATGCGACCATTCATTCGACATTCATCCGACCTTATCAATTGAATGTTACGCCAGTATGATAAGCTAAAAGGGAGTGACAAGAGAGTCTTTAGAATATAGAATAAAAGGAGCATTTACAAAGGTCAGGCTCTGATAAAATTGTGAAATAATGATTCACTCTCTGGATGTAACTCTGTTTACAGGCTCTGTTCATGGAAGTTATTATAAAAGCGTTCATTACATATATCTCATAACACTTCAAATGATATAAAACATTACGAGTAACACTAAACGTTTGGTAGATAGCTAAACATAAGTGGCTTTTAATTAAACGTATCTGTTTAAATGGTGTTGACGCCACTATAAGATTTGAAACTGAAACAAATTTGTATTAATTCTCAGGTTACATTAACATTATGTGCTGACATTTAAGATCATCTGACATTTTTGATAATACATCAAACGATTCAAATGAGTAACACTTAGCATTTGGTAGCTTTACTATAAGTGCCTTTAAATTAAGTATCTGCTTAAACATAATAAATAATATACTTTACGTAGTTGAAAGGATTACAAACAGAAATTGAATTTGGTATTCATGCTTAAATTATACCGTGAGGATTAAGGAATGTTTAGAGATCGTCACGTTTCGACAACGTTAAAGGTTCCTTTGAATTCTTCACAACGCTGTATTACTTGGCAACATCGTCGTCAAAGAGCTATCGTGTTTAAAACAAGGCATTCCAGGTACAACTGCTAAATTTGCAATTATAACTGCGATCAAAACGCGATTAACAATTCATGAATATTAATTGCACGATGGGTGAACCAAGATGTAGTTCTAATTACAAACGATGCTGTAACATTAGCATTTAAAGGTCTTTGAGTATAATAAACATGAATGTGTACTTATCATAATTATTTAAACTTAATATAGTTTCTTAATTAATCAAGCGAGCGGCACACTTCTAACTTTATCTGACCCGATCAACATAATTATAATCACGAAACCAATCTGATATTACAGACAACCTGGAGTGGCATTCTGTAAAGACACATTTCACTTTCGAACGCGGATCCGTTTCGGATTTTATCATTGGCATTCTGTAGTCAAGTGAGAATCAACGCTAGCGCTACTAGGCGAGAGTGGCGGTGAAATGAACTAATGCAGGATATAGCTTGACAATATGCTCAAGGATTTGAAGTTTAATGGCATTCTGTAACAAATTTTACACTCACTTTCGGATCCGCACTCGAATTGTTATGTCAAAGTGACTTAGTGTGTAGCTATGGCAATCAATCAAACAAACTTTGCTAATAAATTACGATTTTTGTTTATAGAAGATCTTTTAAAGTAAGTATTTTTAATGTAGGTCTCATTGTTTATTTAATAATTCAAAAACTCATGTCCACCTATTTTTTTCAGACCTCACTCTATTGCCTTGTGCTTAATATTAATGTCAAGAAGTATAAATGAAATTGCCTCAATTTTAAGTCATCTAGACATCGTAAAAATATATAACATTTCTGCGAAATGCATCTCAACACCAAGTGTTAAAGGATCAGTAAGTAAACTCTGATTAACTATAATAACCAATAAGTTAAATATTATATTATAAATCAAGTAGACCAGTGTTTCTTATAACTTTTACAATCCTGGAACAATATCAGAATTCTAAAAAATCTATGAGCCCGTGTCTTAAAGTATTTTAGATAATGAAATCATAAAAAAATACTTTTATTGGCAGTTTCTTTAGTAAAGTAAATATTAAATGAGCCATTCTTTACCTTTGTTACAGTTTTTTTGAGAAATTTCAAATACCTGGAGTTGTTGTTTGCATAGATGGTATCTTTGTCACCATGATACGACCCAAAGAAAATGAAGAAGGGTATTATTGTCGTAAAGGTAAGCATGCAAGAAATGTTCAAGTAGTAAGTACACCTTTAACTGATTTTCATCTATTTGTTACTTTCTTAAAACTTGTCATGTTTCATGAACATATAAATATATAAATTTATGTAAAGATAAATTAAAAGACTGGAATTAAATTTTGTAAATATTTTGTTACAGATTGTTCATGTCGATCTCAATGTTTTGCATGTCGATGCCTCATTTGTTGGAGCTAGCCATGATAGCTTTATTTGGCACTGAGGTTCTTAGAGAAATCTTTAGCTAAATCTCTATTAGCTGCCAGGAACTCGATCAAAAATTATTATTAAGTTGCTCTACAGAGGGATGCGACGATTGTGACACCACTGCAAAAAACAGAAATGATTTTAATATACATTAAAACTTCAGTAATCAAAACCACATTTTATTTAACTTACTTCATCTCGCCTCTCTTCTACAGTTTTTCAAATGAGCCAAAAACAAACTAAACAATGACCGCAATACGTTTGGAAGTCGATTTTCTTAACAAATGTAATTTCCACATTGAACTTTTGGGAATATTAGATGAGATTTCTTCATGGAAAAATACTTACCGCTTTTAATATTTTTTTTTTAATTTATTCAGCTTTGGCTCCTGGGCCATCAGCAAAAAAGACCGCTTTTGATAAAATCACGCAAAAACCTAAGTGGGTATTTGCATTTGTTTACCGGGGTGCATTCCAAACTACGCTCTAGGTGCAACAAATGTCAAAATTGACATGCAACGATATTAAATACCCTAGATGCAACACGTGCGCTCAAAATGTGTCCCAATCAAGAAGTGCTTGAACACGACTCAAGCACTACGTTGAAAATCAAGATGCCGCAAAGCTCCGTGAAAAAATGCATAATAAATACTTATAGTACGTAAAGTGTCCTTTTCTACAGGTATCTAATAAATGTTTGTAAAATTAACGCATTTGAAGCAAATAATTATGTTCTAATACTTACTATAAATTGATTTAATAGAAAAAAACGTGATATTCAAATGCATGATCGGTAATAGCGCATCTTCAGTGCGTAGAGTCAAAGAAATAAGGTCTTTATTCTTACGCGTATAGCAATAAGTGGTAAATTTTTACGAGCTTGCATTTTGAACTGTCATAACTCATTGACGCATGCGTTTTAATTAAGACCTTTACATTAAATGTAACTTTGAATGTTTAAATAATGCCTTACATTGTTTTTGACTACGCGATTATCTTACGGAGCTCCGCGTATCGTCCAATTTACCTTTTGGACAGGTTTCAGCCACGATTTTGTTCGTGATGTTGTATCTAGGGTATTTAATATCGTTGATTTTATGTCAACATTAAACGTTGGTAAAAAGTTCCACTCATAGCCGTAGGTTTCGAACGATGCCCCAAGTGCGCGGAGTTCCATTCTGTTAAAAGTTTAATAGATAGATACTAGAATCGATTCTTGGATGATTCTTTAAACCTAAACCTTAATTTGACAATAGTGTATCCTTGTCATTATCTATACAAAATGAAAAGGATACTCTGATGATAAATTTAGCTTAAGTTTAGAGAATCATGCCAGAATCGTCACCAATGAATAATAAAATTAATCCATTTTATGAAAAACAGAATCAGCAATTGCTGCAATCATAGACATAGTTATAATCATAGATATCGCTTGAAGTGAGACCGATCATTCATCTATGACATAGTTTTGTATCTATGGCTCTCACTGAAAGCGGCGGATTTGCATTCACATCACAGAACGGATCGCTTTACGGAATTTTCGCATTCTGTAAAAAATATTACCACCATGTGAAGCGAGATGACATTTTTATCGCAA